TGTTAAGGAAATTTAATTAAGTTAAAGAAAAGAAAAATGAATAAGAATTTTTTTTTGGTCTTTTTCATTGTAAGAAGTTAAATAAAATAAACTAAATAACTTAAACATATTTTTGGTGTTTTTGTGTAGAAAACAGTTTTTTTTTGTGTTTAAAACAGTTTTTGGATAAAAAATAGTTTTATGTTTGGAAACAGTTTTTGTGTAAAAAACTATTTTGTGTTTGAAAACAATTTTGTGTAGAAAACTGTTTTGTGTTTGGGCCCAGAGTTTGTTTGTTAGTAAACAGGGGGGGTTCAGAAACTGGAAATGCCAAGGCCCAGCCAATGGAGGCCCATGTGTGCTTCCTACAAACAAGGTAAAGTGAAAAAATATGAATAGATGATAAAAGGTCTCGCTGGGGCTTGAACCCAGGACCTTCTATATGGCAAGCCTTTAGCGCACGCTGTTTGTACCACTGGGGTGATCTGTTTCATCCATTCATAAGGTAGCTTCGATTGGGTACAAACTGAAATCGTTTCTGAATGTTTGAAAAGCCCAACTTCTTCCTTCGAGCGCAGGGATGAAAGACTCCAATGTGGATATTCGAAGGCTTCAATCCTCAACTAATCGAAAGATACAAAAACCCGCCTAAGATCTTCAAAACGAATCTTACCATATGACTTTTAAAAAAACACTATGGGTCAAAAGTTAGCATGAAACACCAAAACTAAGGACTAGCTGTTCAGAGATGAAATTTTTAATGTACAAGCAATGAATCAAAAGTATGGCCAACTTCCTAGACATGAAGTCTACATTTTTTCTTTTATTGTATGTACAAATGATGTTTGAATGGAGAGTTCCAAGCTTTAGAAAACTTACCTCTTGGAGTGAGACTTGCGGGACTTTGACAGAACCTCCAGGAACAGTTGGATGGTGGACTAAGCCTGATTCGACCTCCCTGAAGCTATTTCAGTTGCTGCTTTGTTTTGAAAGTCACTTGAGTTGAAGGTTGATATGTGGTATATAAGAGTGAATCGAAGGGTTTACTAACTTCCTTGAGTGGGTTTTTTGAAGGCTTTGGGAATGTCCCAAAGGCTGGTATATGGAAGTTAGAAGGGGTTAATCAAAAGGCTAATATATGGAGTGAGGGGGTGAATCGAAAGGCTCACTAATGTATGAAGGGGTTTGAGATTTTGAGAGTTTGAGAGTTTGAGAGTGTTTGAGAGTTTGAGAGTGTTTGATGATTTTTCCACCCAAAAAAATCTCTCTTTAGCTTGCAAATGGTTTCTCTATTTATAGAAGAAAAGGTTAGAGATGTTGGATTAACCAGGTTTGTAAGATAACAAACCATGGTTTGGTTGAAAACGAAAGAATCAAGTTTTACAGATTTTCATAGTTCCCAAGTTCAAGTACAAGTGGGGGCCTGATGCTTTTTGGGTGCAAGATATTTGACTTATGCTTTTGACACTGCTTATGTTTAGATAAAATCAGGTTGGGAGCTCAAAAAACGAACTTTGTGATTAAAGTAATCTTTATGAAAAAAGGATACGTAGCTTTTTTCCATTTCATCCAAAAATGGTATAATCCAATGGATAAAGCTTCGAATCTTTGTGTAATGTATCACAAATTTGTGTAAGCCTCTGATTATGTAAAGATTTGGAAGCAACATAGCCTGACAAAAGAGATATTGAGGAAAAGGCTATAAATTTGATTAATGTTCTTCAACCAAGCTTGCTCGAAGGGTTCAGAGTTGGATTCGAAGTATGTTTCTTCGAAGGAAAACCATACTCCAATCGAAGCTTTGTGTGAAGGTAACCCTTGTCCAATCAAAGCTTACATGCAGGAGGCCACTACTTTGTGAATCAAAGCAAGCATGTAAGAGGCCATTGCTCAATCAAAGATTGCATGAAGATAGCCATTGTCCAATCGAAGCTTGCATGCAGGAGGCCACTACTTTGTGAATCAAAGCAAACATGTAAGAGGCCATTTCTCAATCGAAGCTTGCATGAAGATAGCCATTTTCCAATCGAAGCTTGCATGCAGGAGGACACTGCTTTCTGAATCAAAGCAAGCATGTAAGAGGCCATTGCTCAGTCGAAGCTTGCATAAAGATAGCCATTATCCAATCAAAGCTTATATGCAGAAGGCCAATGATTTGTGAATCAAAGCAAACCTGCAGGAGGCCATTACCTTCTGAATTGAAGCAAGCCTGCAAGAGGCCGTTGCCTTCTGAATCGAAGCAAGCCTGCAGGAGGACATTGCCTTCTGAATCGAAGCAAACCTGCAGGAGGCCATTTCCTTTTGAATCGAAGCAAGCCTGTAGAAGGTTATTGCCTTCTGAATCGAAGCAAGCCTGTAGGAGGCTATTGCCTTCTGAATCGAAGCATGCCTTTAGGAGGCCATTGCCTTTTGAATCAAAGCAAGTTGTTTCAAAGGAAGACATTTCCCAGTCAAAGCTAGCATGAAGGAAGGAGTTCAGTTGAAGCATGAATCGAAGCAATGCCCAGTCGAAGCTAGTATGAATCGAAGCAAGCTTGCTTTTCTTCAATTTTGTCAAAAAAATCAAATTTATCTACTTTACTCTTTCAACAGTTTCCTCTTTGACTTGATGCTTGAAAATCCAATATGATCCATGGCAACTGTATGGGGTATTAAAAATCCAATTATGCTTGTGCAATCTTGAAATTTAATAAATCCTTGTGAAAAAATGTCTTGAGAAAAGAGAGGGAAAATTTTTGGGTACAACACTTGGCATATCCAACAATTCTGCTCCGGTTTGAGGGAGACTATTAAATGATGATTAGCTAGTTAGATTAAGTTAGTTATTTCGGTTACTTCACATGAAAGTAACTACACCTTATATATATGGTTTTCTCTTGCCTTGTATATCCAAGTTCAATAATAATGAATGATATTACTGCTCTTCCATGAATTCCTTTAGATGTTAGATGACATCAGATGTTGAGAATCAATTTGTAAAGGAAAACAAATATTTAGTTAGAACAACGTTTCCATGGACAATACTGTTAAGAATATTTTATAATTGAGACTGCAATGGTGTTATTATTTCTTATGTGGTTTTAATGATGATAAACATAATGGTAATTTCATGATAAATTATTGTTAATGTATGATAAGTCTTTGAGTGTATTGGGGTTTCTGGAATCAAAATTTGAGCTTGGAGGGTGCTCAAATGGTGGAAATTACGGATTCTGCAATTTTCACAATGGTGACAGGCCGACCGTCATGCATCTCGCGGAGTTGACGAGCATTAGTAGGGAGACAGGGAAACCATCATGGTCCTTGGGGCGGGCCTCTCGCCCGTACGCCAGCAAGCTGATGAGTCTGTGAGGGAAAAAGTGACGAACACGTCTTGACGATCGGCATGACGAGTGGGCTAAACGTCATCCCTTCAGTTGACCAATTTTAGGGTCTTTGACTCGGTTTTTTGAGCTGTTTCTGATTCAAGCAACTATTAGTTCCTATTTTGTTATGTTTTGACGAGTTGGTGAATAACATGATTATGTATTAAGAGTTATGTAAATACTTTATGAATATATATATATATATATATATATATATATATATATATATATATATATATATATATATATATATATATATATATATATATATATATATATATATATATATATATATATATATATATATATATATATATAAAAGTATATGTTGTTGAATACTTGTATGAATTCATATTGGTGAATTATAATTACAAATCATACTTGTTATGTTGATATGGTGGCCTTATAATGCGTGATGGTTATGATTCAAAGAGAAATCACTGGTAAGTATAAAACTTGTATAATTTTGTTGCACATCATGATGCATACAGTGTGTCAGTGATATATCTACGAACTTCGGTCTAGGGATGAGTCACTAATTCATAAGGGGGTCTGTGATGAGCGGGTTCAAAGGGGAACCATTGGTGAGTGGAAGAAATCAATAATATAACTTTGATGTCCAAGATAGATACCACATGTATTAGAGTTGAGGTGATGATCACATTGCACACATATTTATACATTGTGAATTATTTGTTATTGTGAATAATCCTTACATTGATGATTGTTATGAATGATGCTATCATTGCCATATTTGAGCATATTCTCACTCATGTTTACTTTGTTTGTGGTGTTTGTACTCCCTTGAAATACAATTAAATGAATAAATTTTGGCCTTTGATTTTTTTGAAAATCAATGATATTATTTGATGTCAAAAGTAAACATTCATATGTAAATGAATCCTGGCTATCTCGTTTCATAAAAAAAACTTAAAATTATGCACAATTCAAATTAAAATGAATTTTATTATTTTTAAATTTTCATAAAATTAATATCATTTACTATAAAATATCTTTATTAATTGTAACTAGTGAAAATTTTAATGGAGTAAAAACATTAATAAATAAATATATAATTGTAGAAAAATAAATAAATATATAATTGTAGAAAAATAATAAATTGATATTCTAAGTAATAGTTATTTTAAAATTGAAAAATGTAAATAAAATAATTTTTATGAGATTTGAAATAAATTTAAATTAAATATGAAACTTTTATATTCAATTTTTAAAACACAAGAATTTTGAATTAGATAAAAAACTAATTATTTAGAGAATCGTTAGATAAGTCGGTGAGTTATGTTCAAAGTGATATCAAGAATTCTCTTTTCCAGCACTTTTCTACAATCATTGTTGGATATTACAGACTCATCTTTACATTATTTTGTTAGAATAAAACTCAGAAAGTTTTGAACAAAATCACATTGTTCAAATTTCATTTATTTTTTACTTGATTACGATCCAATGTCACCTACACATGATAAATGCATAAGCAAACTTAGACACACAATCTGACATATCCATTGCACCATTTATAAATATTATAGTTGGACCAATATTTTTATTCACGACCACAAAAGATGTGGTCATTCATATTTCATAGCATGCAAAAAAATGAGCACAAAAACTAAAAACCATCTTCATCCATGAAATCACTCACATATAAGATTTTTCCTCCTCCTCCCCCTCCTCAGAAAAACGACGATGTTTCTCTTTCGGCATTGGCAATCCCTTCAAATGCAGCACATTAGAATCAACATCATCACCACCACCAACACTTTCATCTTCCTCCTCTTTCACAATCTCATTATCACTGTCGTAAACAAACCCTATATGTTTCCCAGCAAAGTTCAGAACAGCCTTTTCATTCACATTAACCTTGTTCAATCTTTTACACAGTTTATCAAGCCCCAAATCACATTCATAATCACCACCATCATCATCTTCCTCAGCTATTTCTTCCTCCACATCATCATCATCGTTGTTACTCTTATTCACTTGCATTGACCAGATGGATGCATTATCACCAACACTGCAACTTCCAACACAACTTCCTTGTGTTGTTACTTCCTGATAACTCGCCTCAGAGTTGCATTCTTCAGACACTTGAGATTTTTCTGAGAAATCCAAGGATTTTGCTATCTCATACTTTTCATCTTCCACCTGAAATCAAAAAACCGATTAATTAATACAATCTATAAAAACAAAATCATTCAAGAAAGCTAATATATTTATCAATGAACCTGAGAAATTGATTGTTGCTGATGAGTGTTGGAAATCCACCAAATTCTATGATGAATTTCAACCACCACTTGATGATAAGTTATGAAACAAACAAATAAAAGAACAATGGAGATATTTCTGCAGAATTTCTATTCTGCCCACAAACTGTGGAATCTTTATTAATTCACTTTGCAACTGCAAAATACTGTGAATGACTTCAATGACTTGAATACAAAAATAAGGGTTACTCCCTCTTATTTATAGATTTAGGTTAGCTTGCTCCCTAAGCTAAACCCAAGCCCAAAATATCTCTTTACTAAATCAAATCTAATCTAGATTTAAATTCAAATCTATTTAAATCTAAACAAATCAAATCTTCTTTTGACACATATGAATTACAATTTAACACACCACCTAATTCATTGTGTCTAAACTGTCTATGTTCATCATGACCCTTAGCTTTCTGAATATTTCGACCTGCACTCCCTTTGTCATGATGTCTGCAATCTAATTCTCAGTTCTGCAGTGTTCCAAATTCATCTTCCCATCTGCTACCTGCTCTCGAAGATAATGGAACCTCATTTAGATGTGCTTACTTCGACCATGTGCTATTGGATTCTTCGCCAGATTGATAGCTGACATGCTGTCTATCTTCATGGTAATTGCTCCATGATTTTTCCCTGTTATCTCTTCGACCAAGTTCACCATCCAAGTTTCTTGACATGCACAAAGAGAAGCAGCTATGTATTCTGCTTCGCATGATGATAATGCTACTACTGGTTCTTTTCTTAAACTCCAAGCAATTGTTGCACCACCTAGCATAAACACATATCCTGCTGTTGACTTTCGATCTTCAGCATCACTACACCAACTCGAATCAGTGTATCCCACTAACTTGCATTCTTTTCCTTTATCAATTGCAGGAAACAAAATGCCATAATCGAAAGTTCCTTTAAGATACCTTAGTATCCTCTTCACAGCTGCTAGATGTGATACCTTTGGCTTCTGCATGAATCTACTTACCATACCTACGCTGTATGCTAAGTCAGGCCTTGTATGACAAAGGTATCTCAATGATCCAATAAGTCTTCTGTATTGGGTTGGATCAACATCATCTTCATCAGCATCTTTCGACAGTTGCAGTCTTGGTTCTGCATGTGTCGAATTTGCGTTGCATTCTTCCATCTCAAACCTTTTGAGAATTTCTCCTGCATATCTTCTTTGATGCATCATCAAACCTCTACTGCTCTTGTAGAATTCGATACCAAGGAAATATGAAATCTCACCCAAATCAGACATTTCGAATTCCTTGCTAAGATCACCTTTGAAGTCTTCGATCTCACTCTTGTATACCCACTTGACATCAATTGCCTTCTTGCCTTGAGGCAATTCGACAAGTGACCAAGTGTTGTTGTCTTCAATAGACTTTACTTCTTGGTTCATTGCTTTCACCCACTTCGAATCCTTTAATGCTTCAGCTGCATTAACAGGTTCGACATCTGCATAGAAAGCATAATATACCAGCTCACCTTCATCATCTATCACATCATCTGATGTAATCACACAATCTTGCAATCTTGCAGGCATGCGTCTTGTTCTTTGAGGTCTGCTTGTACTGGGTATATCTGCTGGCTCCTCTTGTCGAACTTCTCTTTCGACTTGAGTTTCTGGCTCTTCGAATAAGATTCCCACTGAATCTTTCTTGACATTTGTAGTCCAATCCCATTCTTTGAACTCATCTATGATCACGTCCCTGCTGATCACAATCTTCTTGTTCTCTGGATCGAACAACTTGTAGCCTCCTGTCGAATGATATCCAACTAGGATCATTTGACTTGACTTGTCATCAAGTTTTCTTCTCAACTGATCTGGCACATGTCTATGTGCAATAGATCCAAATACTTTCAGATGACTTAAGCTAGGCTTCACACCAGACCAACATTCTTCTGGAGTAATCCCTTCTAGCTTCTTTGTAGGACTTCTGTTCAAAATGTATGTTGCAGTCGAAACAACTTCACCCCAGAACTCTTTGGGTAAATTCTTGCCTTTCAACATACTTCTCACCATGTTCATGATGGTTCGATTTTTCCTTTCTGCAATTCCATTTTGCTGTGGAGTATAGGGTGGCACCACCTCATGCACAATCCCTTCTTTTTCACATAATCTGTCGAAATCTTTCGACACATATTCTCCTCCACCATCAGTTCTCAAAACTTTGAGCTTTCGACCACTTTGTCTTTCGACCATGGACTTGAACTTGATAAATACTTCGATCACTTCACTTTTCTTCTTGATCAGGTAAGTCCATAGCTTTCGACTGAAATCATCTATGAATGTAACAAAGCATTTGTTACCTCCCATCGAATCCACCTGGATTGGTCCACATACATCAGAGTATATGACTTCGAGATTATCCTTCGATCTGCTTCCTGCATCCTTGCTGAAGCTGTTCTTGTGTTGCTTCGCCTGCACACATTCTTCACATACTTCGTTTGGAATGTCAATTTCAAGCAATCCTGAAACCATATTTCTTCTCTTCAAATCTCTGATGTCTCTGAAGTTGAGATGACCTAGTCTATAATGCCATATCCATTCATCTCTGCTAGCTGCAGTCGAAAGGAACTTGTGCTCCATCACATTTAGTTCAATCTTGAAGGTTCGATTCTGAGACATAGGAGCCTTCAAGATTACTCTCCCATTTGCATCAACAACTCTCATCAACTTATCTTCGATTGACACTTTATAATTCTTTTCGACCAACTGCCCTATACTGAGCAAATTGCTCTTCATGCCTGGTATGTACAATACATTCGAAATTACTGACTTCTTGCCATCTTTCCTCATGATCATAACATCACCAATACCTTCAGCTGCTAGGGTGTTGTCATTCGCAAATTTTACCAAATTTTTCGTTGAGGGTTTTATGTTGACGAACCAGTCTTTCCTTCCAGACATATGTGATGAACATCCTGAATCCAAGTACCATTGGTCCTTGAATCTATCTTCATCTCTTGTTGTGACCATCAGCATCATCTCTTCTTCTTCTTCATGTTTTGCCAGCTTTGCATCACTTTCTTGATTCTTTCGTTTTTCTGGACAATCACTCGAATAGTGACCATACTTCTGACAATTATAACATTGAATGTGACTCTTATCAGGTTTTCGACCACCACCTCTTCCTCTGTTTGCAGCACCACCTCTTTGGTTGCCTTGGTGTGGTCTTCTTTGATTTGACACGTCTCCTTCGATTTGGTTTCCTCTGCCATTCGATTTGTTGTAGCCACCTCTACTTCTGTCGAAATACTTTCCTTTGCCTTTGGTCTCTTTTGCTGAATGTGCCTGCAAGGCCACATCACTCTTCGATTTTCCTGCAGCTCTTTCGTTCATTCTTTGTTCATGAGATTCGAGCGTCCCTTGAAGCTCTTCCTTTGTCAATTTCGACAAGTCTTTCCCTTCTTCTATCGCCACCACTACGTGGTCGAACTTAGGGGCTAAGGATCTCAGGATCTTCGAAACAACAACTCTTGTTGTTAATGTTTCTCCACATGTCTTGATTTGATTCACTAGTTTTGTAACTCTAGTGAAGAAATCAGATATGTTTTCACTGTCTTCCATCTGAAGCAGTTCATAGGTCCTTTTGTGAGTTTGTAACCTCACTTCTTTCACCTTCTCAGCGCCTCCAAAAGACTTCTCCAGGATCTCCCAAGCTTCTTTTGCAGATTCTGAATCACCAATCTTCTCGAAATTGTCTGGGCTGACACATTGATGAATTATAAACAATGCTTTATAACTCTGTTTCTCAGATTCTGTATATTTCTTCTTTTCTTCTTCTGAAGCGTTTTCGCCAAGCGCTTCGACTCCATCTTTTACAAGGTCCCAAAGGCCTTGACACCTTAATAGGACTTTCATCTGCTTGCACCAATTCTCATAGTTGTCAACTTTCAGAATTGGCAGCGTTGCTGGATAGTTTGCATTCCCATAACTTGTCATCGTGAATTCTTCAATCGTTCTTGATTGACACTTCCCTTGAATCGAAACACAAGCTCTTGATACCAGATGTTGGAAATCCACCAAATTCTATGATGAATTTCAACCATCACTTGATGATAAGTTATGAAACAAACAAATAAAAGAACAATGGAGATATTTATGCAGAATTTCTATTCTGCCCACAAACTGTGGAATCTTTATTAATTCACTTTGCAACTGCAAAATACTGTGAATGACTTCAATGACTTGAATACAAAAATAAGGGTTACTCCCTCTTATTTATAGATTTAGGTTAGCTTGCTCCCTAAGCTAAACCCAAGCCCAAAATATCTCTTTACTAAATCAAATCTAATCTAGATTTAAATTCAAATCTATTTAAATCTAAACAAATCAAATCTTCTTTTGACACATATGAATTACAATTTAACAATGAGCAACTGAAGAGTTGATTGAAGGTAACCCATTATCCAAAGCCTCTTCTTGCACCATCTACATCAGAGTCTTTACTTGACCTCTTAGCAAGGCTTCGCCAGATCCCGGAGTGTTCTTTATTCGGCTAGCCTTCTGCTTCTCTGACGGTGTATCAAGATTTCCACCATTGGCAAGCCCAACGATCGGTGAATCTTTGGTCATGTCCATCAATGCACATCGATCTTGCTACTGTTGCACCTTTGATTTCGACACGATTTTTTCAAAATCATCGAATTTTCCTACAAAAAACAAGATTATAAAGATTAGTGATATTGGTGAAAGAATTTCCAAGCGATCAGAGAAGAGAAAGAAAAAGAAGATTACTGACTTGAGAGTGGAATGGTGTTGGTAAATCTGGTTGTGGATGATGGGGTTTCCATTGGAATGGAAAAGTTGAGAGCTTAGTAGGAATTTTGTAGAGAGAAAATAGATTGAATTTATTAAATAGAGAAAGAAAGAATGAATGATAATGATGAGGGGTAAAAAGTGTATTATATACAAAAGAATGAATGTGACCACTCGAGTGTGCGTGTTTCTCAGAAAGGAAGTAGTCGTTAGTTTCTTCTTTTGAATTTGTTTTTTTTCTTTATTTGGGCTGTTCAGCCCAATGCTGATTTATAGTAGTGGGTCATATTGAGAATTTTTTTCCACCTTTATAGTGTGTCTCACACCTCTGAAATTTAAAATTTCTCTCATATGTTTTTAGAGATGTATCTCCGGACGCACTTTAAATATCATCATTTTTGAAAATTGGTTATATCAAGCTGTCACCCCATTTTTGTAGAAAATTGGTTTGAAGATGCATCTGCGAAAATGTATGGGGTAAATTCGAAGATGCATTTTCGAAAATGCTTATTTTGGATATGCATATTCAAAAACTTCACTGCATGGATCTTGGGCATAAACATTGTCTAAGTTTGTATTTTTTTTTAATCGACTAAAAGTGTCATAATTTGATTCAAACATTAATAAACACGAACATCATAAAACAATGTAATTCATTAATTAAAAAAATATCCCATTATATTACAAATATTGTTCTCAAAGTATGAAAAATAATACTAAAACATCAAAAAATGCAACAAAAAAAACATAACCTATCATGTGTGCCTAATCCTAACCCCTGGCTCCTCCTCTATCGCAGGTACCAAAGACATTTTGTGTCTCAGTAAGAATGGAACGTGCTAGGAAAACCGCATCATCACCACCTCTCTCAAACATGCCATACTTTATGCTTCATACGTAATCCACATAATATTTTGACAGATCAACAACACATCAATGACATGGTCATTCCTAGCCTACTCGTTCTCTAGGATCTCCTCATGAGAAGACCTGGGTAGATGTCCAGGAGCGTCTGGTGTCATGATAGAGTGTGACATAGTATATAACCAAGTCAAGTAACTGTAAGCATAATACATATGACTTGTGGCTGACATACTCAGATACTCCTCTAATACCAGATGACTCTCATGATCCGCCAGTATCTCATCAAGATGTCTGTAAACGCTGATATTAGGAGCATACTTAAAGGAGGATCTTAGAATGATCTGCACATATGAATCTCCCTATAAGATACCTTCCTATCAAATTCCTCCCACAGGGTAGCCATCCGGAGTAAAATGAAATGGGGACAAAGACAACAATGTCCATGCGAGTGATGTGTTGTGTCTCATCGATGTCATCATGTGCAGTCCAGTCAATATAAACACGGAATGGTCGCACACCATCATTTTGTCTGTGCGGGCAATACATGCAAGCATGTGGCCAATCATCATACTCTAGCACACGATTAAACTCGTCTGTGCAGTGAGATTGGGATATGATTAATCCCTGGAAATTGAATAAGAATTTTCTTTAGTACAAGTGTAAAAAAATGTTTATAAAATTAATAATGGCTATGGAAATTAATTAGCGTTCGGATATGCATCTCCGAAAAAACCTAAATTTGAAGTTAAGGGTTAATCCAAAGATGCATTTGCAGACAAATCCTAAAAAAAATACGGAGGAGCCTTTGGAAATTGAGAGAAGTCTTAACGATTGGTTGTAGGTGGAGTATTGGGGATGAAAGTAATATTGAAGTGTTGAACGGACCTAGGCTTAGAAGTAAATAAGGAGGGTGCTTGGATGGTCCGTATGAGCAAGGTGTGTATGATCTTTTTGTCCAAAATCTCATGTTATCTAATGCTAAACAATGGGATATACAAGTAATAAACTTTTTGTTTGCGCATATTGTTGTTGAGGAGATTTTAAAGGTACCTTTTATGGAGGATATAGTTGAAGATAGCTTGATTCGGCAAGAGGAACAAATGGAGTGTACAGTGTCAAGCCGGGTTATAGAGTGTGGAGAAATCTACAAGCTAATTTGAGGAACAGAAACAAGGATGGGATTTGGGGAAACCTTTGGAATATTATCGTTCCTCCTAGAGCCAAACATTTATTATGAAGGATATGCAGGGGTTTCCTTCTGTGTCAGTCTAGGCTTTACCATCATCATGTTCAATGTCCCGTGGTTTGTCCTCTTTGTGAGATTGATGACGAGAATGATTGGCATGTGTTTTTTGGATGTTCTACCACATTTCAATGTTGGCGGGCATTAGGTTTGTATTCTATGATTGAATTTCGTCTCAATAATTTAATGATGCTAAATCCCTTATTCTTGGCATTTGCAATAGAGAGGATAGAAGGGATGCTGATAGGTTTGTTGTGATGCTCGAAATGCTTTGGAAGAATAGGAATGGTGTTGTTTGGAATAATGTTCGGGAGGAGGATTCGAAAATTGGATTGCAGGCATACTATAACTGGAAATATTGGTTTTCAATTCGAGAAAAGAGTGATCTCAATAGGTTTCATTCTCATACTACTGTTTGGATTCTGCCTAATGAAGGAAGATTGAAATGTAATATTGATGCATGTTTTAATATGGGTATATGTACTACTAATAGAGGATGGTGTGCGAGAGACAATCTTGGTAGATTTCTTAATGCATGTGTTGCTTGGGACTATGGTAGCGTCTCCCCTATTGTAGCCGAAGCCATGACTTTAAAGGAAGCTATTCAAAGTGCTATTTCGATGCAATTAATAAATGTAATCTTTGAGAGCGATTCACAAGTCGTAGTTCAAGCTATCCACTCTATGCATGTGGGAAGATCCGAGTATAGTCTTATTATTTTAGTTACAAAGAGTTGGTTGCATCTATTTCTGAACTTTAAGATTAAGTTCATCAAACGCCAAGTGAATTCGGTTGCCTATATACATTAGCTAAGGCGGCCAATTCTTTGTCTAGGCATAGTTTATTAATGTGATACTTCATTGTATTAATTTTTGTTTAAGTAATAAAAGACGTTAATTTTTCTTCTGTAAAAAAAACATTTAGATACTATTAATTGAAAAAAAAAAGTAGTAGATATATAGGTAGAAAATATGCTATGAAATAAAAGTTTATAGAGTAAAATATGCAGGAAATTTTGCTAGAAATCTTGTTAACTTTCAAACGCTATTCTATTTTGTTCATCTGATAGCATTATTTACGCAACATTATACAAGTGCATTTGTAAATAATATTAAATATTAGTAAAATTTGCAAAATTTACAGAAAAAAGCTAAGAGTTCATCTAGATGATAATTACGACAAAATTCAATATCAATTTGTGAGGAAAAAATAGTAGCAACTAAAATAAATTATCTACAACAATAATAATCCGTACAAAGATAATATAACAGAATACAAAGATAAAAGAGAAAGATTTATTTACCCAGTTCGATCAAATGATCTACTCTGGGGAAGAGCGCAACTCTCCAATTCACTATAGCCAGAAAGTCGTTACAAGAGATTACAAATGAGTTACAATAAAATAGCCTTTGCCTTCAGGTTCTCAAGAACAACCTCTTAAGTTTATTTTCCAGCCAAGTGTTTCTCAACCTCTTGAACCTTTAATATATGAATAACCCAAACCCAATGCGTAAATATGTGTTTCCCAATTCTCAATAACCTTAGATAACTTCAAAGGTATCCAAAACCCTTGCCTTTCTAAGGTTTCCCTTGAGAATAACCAAAACCATATGTTATGCCTTAAATCTTTGCTCTCCCTTGTTGTGGTAAGCTCTGAGATGGTCACACTATAATAACAGAAGAGATACATATTTATAATAGACAAAATCCAACAAATCTATAACAAATCCCAAAACATATCTCCTTAATAGTTAGAATAAAAGATATTATTATAATCTTATAATATCTCTCAAATATTATAAACATCTTATAATATCTCTTAGACTATTATAAATATATATCTTATAATATCTTTTAAAATATTATAAATATCTTATAATATCTTTTTATATTAATTTATATGCTCTCCAAATTAATATAAAATATTCTAACGTTAATGAATAGATTAATGAACCAAACCGACCGAACCTGATTCCCGTAAATCGTTCGGACCAGATTACGTTTCAGCTTTCTAATTTTTGGCAATCTCGAAACATGTTTTCTTTCTCTTCATCAACAAAGGTTTTAACAAATATTCTAACAATCTCCACCTTGACTTTAAACCATCTTGATACCAATTTAACCATCAACAATATTACTGCTCTCTGCCAGGTTGAAACTCTTAATCAATAACTTTGATCAAATTCAAGCAACCCTTGAATCTTGATCTCACCACTTGAACCCACTTGTTTCCAATTAACTTTTTCTGCCTAGGTAATTTAACAAAAGAAGTATGATTTTTCAACCACCCTTGCCTCCACTTGCTTTCAAATGCCTTCCTGAAGGGTTTTCTTCTTTTATTTTGCAGTTCTTCAACCACATTAAAAATATAACATCCAAGGCTAGCATAACCGTCCCTTTAAGATGCTACAATAACCCCCATTACCTTATCATGAGTCAAATGATAATCAGAGATCTTTGTAGTCGTTCTCTCACTACTACTAGTATCCATAGTAGGAAACTCCACCTCAAACTGAGTTTTATTTGTTATAGTTTCTCCAAGGTTTCTCCCTTGGTTTTCACTATTCTCCCTCTGAAGAAACTCTCTACCAACCAAGTAAGCTGTTTTAATTTCAGCTCTTCCTCAAAAACTCAATAACAACTCAGGGGTAACATGCATTTTTATCTCTTGATTTCTGCAAAATTCATTATACTCCTCTGAAACTTTCTC